TCCTCCTCCTCTGCTAGAGAGGGCACCACCGACACTGGTGCCACTGCTGCCACAACTCCCTTAGTTCCATGGCTTCCCCTGAGGACCAGTCCACCTATTTTTGGATCACAAATGAATGTGTCTCTTGGGTGTCTTGGTATGCTATGCAGATGCATTTTTGATCAGTTACAGATATTCCTTTAATTGTAAGTCAAAGGGAAGAGAAAGAAGGAACAGCTTATGCTGCAATGAGGCTGACATCACTCCCAGTCTCACCCTTGTGACCAACTGCTAACATTTGTATTCTGCCTTGGAATACATCCTTTCTCTGTATAAAACTAATACCAGGGCTGGCCAAGTGGCTCAGTTGGTTAAGAGCAACAGCTCTGAGCAACAGGGTTGCCAGTTCAATTCCCACATGGAATGGAGGGCTACGCCCACCTGCAACTAAGATTGAACACGGCATCATGAGCTGAGTGGCTGCGAGCTGCCAACGGGTGGCTGGATGGCGAATGGACTTGGAGCTGAGCTAACTGTGCCCTCCATAAACTAAGATTGAAGGACAACAGCTTGGCTGTTCCCCTTCCGCAATTCCCCAATAAAATCTTTAAAAAATAAATAGAAAACAAACAAACAAATAAATAAATAAAACTAATACCAGATCAAATCCATGGTCTGGGTTTCAGAAATAATACTCAGTGGAGTTAATGAGGTAAGAAAAATATCAGTACTATCGACAGCTGCAAATTCCTAGAAGTCAGGTGGAGAAAGTGTTTCAAAGAGGAAACTATTTCAAGGGATATTGCTATAAAGAGAAGGAAAGCATGTAATAGCTGGAGAGGAAGTGGATTGAAATAGAGGGAAGAGTAAAATGGACTCACATGTACTCGTTACCCAATGCAACAGCTATTGATATTTTGATAATCTTGTAGATAATCTTGTTTCATCTATAACCACATCCTTTTTCTGATTGGAATATTTTAAAGAATCATTATTTCCCTTCTGATTATTTTAGTATCATTTTTATAGATGATCATACCATGATCACAGTAGCAGCATTAAAAATAGTGCCTTAATATAATTTAATAACTCATCTGTGTTTCATTTGTGCTACATAGCACTACTTTATGGAAAACAAATCTCATTGCCAACTAGTTGAACAGTTAGAATAATGGGGATGATTTTTTGGACATGATGCTAAAAGCACAAACCAAAGCAGAAAACAAATGGGACAACAGACTCAAAAACTTCTGTATGGCAAAAGAAACAACAAAATGAAAAGGCAACCTATAGAATGGGAGAAAATATTTGCAAGCCATGTATCAGATGAAGGGTTAATATATAAACTATACGAAGCACTCATACAACTTAACAAAAACCAAACAACCCAATTTAAAAGAGCACAGAACTAAACAGATATGTTTCCAAAGAGGACATCAAAATGGCCAACAGGCACATGAAAAGATGTTCAACATAACTAATCATCAGGGAAATGTAAATTGAAACCACAAATGGGATATCATCAAGAAGACAGGAGACAAAAGGTGTTGGTGAGAATGTGGTGAAAAGGGAACCTTTGTACACTGTTGGTGAGAATGTAAATTGGTCCAACCACTATGAAAACAATATGGAGGTCCCTCAAAAACTTAAAAATAGATCTATAGCACAATCCAGCAATTTCACTTCTAGGTATATACCTAAAAGAAAATGAAAACAGGATTTTGAAGAGATATATGCATGCTCATGTTTATTGCAGTATTATTCACAATAGCCAAGATATGGAAACAACCTAAATGCCCATCAATGGATGAATGGATAAAAAAGATATGGTATACATATGCAATGGAATATTATTTAGCCATGACAAAGTTATCCTTCAACTATGAAAGAGAAATAAAGGCTCTCAGACAAACAAGAGCTGGGAGAATTTATCACCACTAGAGCAGCCTTACAAAAAATGTTGAAAGGAACTTTTGAAGCTGAAATGAAAAGATGACAGTCCATAAAACTCTGACTAATGTGACAGTCAGAATTAGAAAACTATGTTTTGTAATAGTATTTTCAATAATTTTAGTATAAAGGTTAAAGAAAAAGGGCATTAAAAATAACTATACTATAATTTGATAATGAATTCACAGCATACAGATAATTTTTGACATCAAAATTATAAAGGGAGAGAAGTAAAAGGGTAGAAACTTTACAGGCAAATGAAGATGAACTGCTATTAGCAGGAAAAGGACAACAGTATTTTTATCTATGAGATGTTCTGTATGATCTATCCATTGATGTCAATGGGGTGTTAGAGTCCCCTACTATGACATATAAGAGATATCATACAGTATTTGTCTTTCTCTGTCTGACTTATCTCAATTAGCAAAATGTACTCAAGATTTATCCATGTTGTTATAAATGGCAGGATATCTTCCTTTTTTTCTCAAGTGCACATGGAACAAGAAATCACAAGTTTTGTGAGAATATAAATTGGTGCAGCCACTATGGAAAGCAGTATGGAGGGTCCTCAAAAAATTAAAAATAGGTCTACCATTTAATTCAGCAATTCCACATCTGGGTATTTATCCAAAGAAAAGAAAACACTAACTTGAAAAGACAAATGTATCCCTATGTTCACTGCAGAATTATTTATAATAGCTAAGATATAGAAACAACCAAAGTGCCAACCAATGGTTGAATGGATAAAGAAAACGTAGGGGGTAAACATACACACACAAGAATTATTCAGCCATAAGAAAGAATGAATTCTTATAATTTGTGACAACATGGATGGAACTTGGGGGTAAGTAAGATGACTCAGAAAAAAACCAATACCATATGATCTCACATATGTGAAACCAAAAAAATCAAAAACAAGTTTATAGATACAGAGAACAGGTTGGTGGTTACCAGAGGCAAGGGTTGAGGCATGGGGGAAATGGGTGAAGGGAGTCAAAATGTACAAACTTGCAGTTATCAAATAAGTCATGGGAATGTAATGTATAGCATGTTGACTATAGTTAATAATACTGTATTGCATATTTGAAAGTTGCTAAGAGACTAATCTTAAAAATTCTGTAACTGTTATGGTGATAGATATTAGATTTATTGTGATCATTTTGCAACATATACAAATAAGGAATCACTATGTTGTATAACTAAGTAATATAATATTGTCAATTATACCTCAAATAAAAACTAATGAAGTTTTATTATTAAGTATTCTGAACACCTTATGTGTTTGGCTTTGTGTTGATAATGAGTTGGGTGTGGCAGAAGACAGGGACTTGTGCTTCCTTTAATAATTTACACCCCATTTGATGGAGATGAGAGAAGGGAATGGGAGTGGTAAGTAAAGTAAGAACTAAAATACAAAGCAGCAATTTAAACCTACTGTGGAGTAAAAGAGTGCTTAGCATTTTTACTGATATATCCCCTCAGGCAACGGAAATAAGAGAAAAAATAAACATATGGGATTACATTAAACTAAAAAGTTTTTTCACAGCAAAAGAAACCATCAATAAAACAAAAAGGCATCCTACTGAATGGGAGAAGATATTTGTCAATGATACATCTGGTAGGGATTAATATCCAAAATTTATAAAAAACTCATTCAACTCAACACCAAAAAAACCAAACAAACCCAATTAAAAAATGGGCAGAGGATATGAAGAGGCATTTCTCTAAAAAGGACATACAGATGGCCAATAGACATATGAAAAAATGTTCAACCTCACTAATCATTAGGGAAATGCAAATAAAAACACAATGAGATACCACCTCACTCTGGTCAGAATGGCTATCATCAATAAATCAACAAACAAGTGCTGGTGAGGATGTGGGGTAAAGGAAACCCTGATGTACTGTTGGGACTGCAGATTGGTGCAGCCATTATGGAAATCAGTGTGGAGGTATCTCAAAAACTTGGAAATGGAACTACTGTATGACCCAGCAATTTCAATCTTAGGTATCTATCCAGAGAAATCCAAAATGCTAATTTGAAAAAATAAATGCACCCCTATGTTCATTGCAGCGCTATTCACAATAGCCAAGACATGGAAACAACCAAAATGCCCATCAGTAGATGATTGGATTAAGAAACTGTGGTACATTTATACAATGGGGTATTACTCGGCCATAAAGAAGAATGAAATCTTACCATTTGCAACAATTTGGATGGACCTAGAGAACATTATGTTAAGCAAAATAAGTCAGACGGAGAAAGACAAATACCATATGATCTCACTTATATGTGGAATCTAAAGAATAGAATAAATGAACAAACTAATCAGAAACAGTCTCAGAGATATAGAGAAAAAACTGAGGGTTACTAGATGGGAGAGGGGTGGGGATGAGGGAGACAGTGAGGGGATTAGAAAGCACAAATTGGTAGTCACAATATTGTCATGAGGATACAAAAGACAGTTTGGGGAATATAATCAATATTGTAAAGATTTTGTAGGGTATCCGATGGACACTTGTCTTATTAGGGATACCACTTCATGGATGGTGTAGGTGCCTGACCACTGCAGTGTACACCTGACGCTGAAGCTGAATAATAATGCCAACTATAATTTAATACATATATATATAATCACAGGATGTGGAGTACAGCATAGGGAATAGAGTCAATGGAATTGTAACAGTTATATACAATGTCAGAGGGGTAGTAGATTGGGAGAGAAGGGTTATCACTTTGTGATGGTTGTAAATGTCTATTACCTTGTTTTGTACATCTGAAACTAATAAAAAAAACTTTTAAGAGGGTAGATCTCATAAGTGTTCTAACCACAATAAAAAATAAAAAAATTTAAAAAATGCTTTAGCACTAAGAAAAATTAACACCTATCTTTCTCCCACTATTCTATAAAACTGAATAGGACGGAAGGCTCTCAAACTCATTTTAGAAGGCCAATATACCTGATGAACAGATGCAAAAATCCTCAACAAAGTATTAGCAAACTGAATTCAGCAATACATCATAAACCATGATGAAGTGGGATTATTCAGGAGATGCAAGGCTGGTTGGTTCAATATCTGCAAATCAATTAATGTGATATACCTTATAAACAAAATGAAGGATAAAAATCATATGATCATATCAATAGATGCAGAAAATGCATTTGACAAAATCAACATCCATTTATGATAAAAAAAAAATCGCAGCAAAGTGGGGATAGAGGGAACATACCTCAACATAGTAAAGGTCCTATGTGACAAAACCATAGCTAACATCATATTCAATGGTAAAAAGCTGAAAGCTTTCTCTTTAATATCAGGAACAAGACAGGGATGTCCACTTTCTCCACTTTTCTTCAGCATAGTATTGGAAGTCCTGGCCAAAGAAATCAGGCAAGAAATAAAAGGCATCTGAATTGGAAAGGAAGAAGTAAAACTGTCACTATTTGCAAATTACTATATATAGACAATCCTAAAGAATTCACCAAAAAACTATTAGAACTGATAATTCAGTAAATTAGCAGGATACAAAATTTATATTCAGAAATTGGTTGCATTTTTATTCACCAATAATGAACTACAAGATAGAGAAATTAAGAAAACAATCCCATTTACAACTGCATCAAAAATATTAAAATACCTAGGAATAAATTTAATCAAGGAGGTAAAAGACCTGTACTTCAAAAATTATAAGACATCGAAGAAAGAAATTGAAGACGACACCAATAAATGGAAAGATATACTGTGCTCATGAGTAGGAAGAATTAACATCATTGAAATGTCCATACTACCCAAAGCAATCTACAGATTCAATGAAATCCCTATAAAAACATCAGTGGAATTTTTCATAGAACTAGAACAAATAATCCTAAAGTTTATAGGGAATCACAAAAGACCCTGAATAGCCAAACCAATCTTAAGACGAACCAAGTTGGAGGAGTCACATTGCCTGATATCAGACTATACTACAAGGCTATAGTAATCAAAACACCATGGTATTGGCATAAAAACACATAGATCAATGGATCAGAATAGAGAACACAGTATAGTCAATTAATCTATGACAATGGAGGCAAGAATTTATACTGGGGTAAAGACAGTCTCTTCAACAAATGGTGTTGAGAAAACTAGACAGACACATGCAAAAGAATGAAACTGGATCACTTTCTTACACCACATATAGGAATAAAATAAAAATAGATCAAAGACTTAAATGTAAAAGACCCAAAACCATAAAACTCCTAGAAAAAAACATAGGCAGTAAGCTCTGACTTTGCTCTTAGTAATTTTGGATATGTCTCCTCAGAAAAGGGAAACAAAAGAAAAATAAACAAATGGGACTACATCAAACTATAGTTTTTGCACAATGAAGAAAACCATCAACAAAACAAAAAGCCTACTGATTGGGAGAAGATATTTGCCAATGATACATCCAACAAGGGCATAATATCTAAAATATACAATGAGCTTATACAACTTAACACCAAAAAGCCAAACAATCCAATTAAAAAATGGGCTGAAGTCCTGAATAGAATTTCTCCAAAGAGAACACACAGATGACCAATAGACATATAAAAAGATGTTCAACATCACTAATCATCAGGGAAATGCAAATCAACCACAATGAGATACCACCTCATACCTGTCAGAATAGTATCAAAAGCCAACAAATAAGATGTGGAGAAAAGGGAACCCTTGTGCACTGTTTGTGGGACTGTACATTTGTACAGCCACTATGGAAAACGTTTTGGAGGTTCCTCAAATTAAAACTAGAACTACCAAATGACCCAGAAATTCCACTTCTGGGTATTTATCCAAAGTAATCCAAAACACTAATATGAAGAGATATATGCACCCCTGTATACACTGCAGCATTTACAATAGCCAAGATATGGAGGCAACCTAAGTGTCCATTGATAGATGATGGATAAAGATGTGCTACAATGGAATATTACTCAACCATAAAGAAGAATGATACCTTGCCATTTGCGATAACATGGATGGACCTAGAGGGTAGTATGCTAAGTGAAATAAATCAGACAGGGAAAGACAAATGCCATGTGATTTCACTTGTATGTGGAATCTAAAAACAAAATAAATGAACAAACAAAACAAACAAACTCAGGTGCAGAGAACATATTGATGGTTGCCAAGTGGGAGGGGACTTGGGGGGATGGATGAAAAAAGGGGAAGGGATTACGATGTACAAAATACCAGATATAAAAATAGTCACAGGGATGTACAATACAGCGTAGAGAATATAGTCAGTAATATTGTAATAACTATTGGGTTGTTGGAAAAGTCATAACCCATGTTTGCGACAGGTGGCACTAGTTCATTTGTGGAAGTATTAGAGTCATTCACATCTGTGTTATTGCTCTGTCATTTGACAGCTGACAGTTCTAACTTCATTCTAAAAAAATTGAGTGATTTGGTTGAGTTTTGGAGATTTTACAACAAGTTGAAGATGGAAGACCAAACTGTGCATTTTTGCCATGTTTTACTGTTTTACTTCCA